GTAAAATACAAAATAGGGCTGGGGATGTGGCTCGTAGTCGAGTGCCCCCGAGTTCAATCCCCAGTACCCCAAAAAAGAAAAAAAAGATTAAAACAATACATGGATGGCCCTAAGTCGATGTCCAGTCCATGGGCTTTCTTAGTTTCCGTGTCTTGTCCCTCTCTTTCTCTGCAATGATGTCTGCAATGACAGACAGCAGGCCACTGCCATGTAGCTGGAGGATCAGCTCAGCAACCAGGAGGACTACCCAGCCGGTGTCCAGTGTCGGGGAGTCCATGTTTGATTGCAATCAGGAAGTTCTGCCCTCTTGTTCCCATTTGTAACAAAATGCATTTTATTCTGATACTAAAAATGTATTTTATTCTGATTGCAAAAATAACATCTCCGGGAAAGATGGTATTATGCAAGGAAGAATTTTTTTAAATAAACTAAAAATAGAGTGGAAAACACCAACTCTGTTGAAATAGGAAAAAAAAATCAAACTTGGGCTACAAACTTGGAATAGTGATTTTGGTCTGGAATTGGGGAAAGGGGGAGTTTCTGGGAATCCACTTCTAGAGCAGACAGAAGGTCTGTGAGAAAGAGAAGGGCTAACCCTGGCCCAGGCAATGTGGGCAACCCAGGAATGGTCCCAACCAAGGAGCAGAGAAGCAGAGAAGCAGAGACAGCTGTGGCTGAGGGTCCCCCACAGCAGTGAGTAGAGACTGGGAAAGTGGCTGTTCTGGAGGGAGGGGGCGCCCTGAGGGGCAGTGGTGGGAAGCAAAGTCATCATTAGATGTTGCTGAGCATGAAGAGGACATCCCTGCCTGGGTGAGGAGCAAGTTGTCTTGTCCCCAACCAACTGGGTCTCAATACTGGGGATCAGTATTTTAAGCTCCCCAGGCTTGTTCTGAGCTGCAACCAGGGTTGAGAACTTCTGTTCCAGTGATAGAAACATGGTTTGGAGTGTTTGGGTGACTTTGAGAGTGCCAGGTGGTGTTTTAAAACACAATGCAGTAGTGAGAGTGTCTAGCCTAGAGCTAGGCATATGGACTACATTATCTCACTTAAATCCACTCTGCCTCCCCGTGGGCCCCAGTTTACAGAGCGTGGTGGCTGGCAACCAAGGAGCACTGTCTTGCCCTGGACAGCACTGCATTTGATCTCACAACAATCCCATGAAGCAGCTGCTCTGGTCATCCCCGATTCACAGATGAAATTGCTACAGATCAGCCAAGGGCAGAATGAGCTGGGGCATGAGGCTCTCTACTGCTTCCGGCCAAAGGACCAGCTGGCTGCCACAGTCCCAGAACCCCTCTCAGCCCAGCTCCCACAGCAGGGATGGGCAGAGCCCGCATGTGCCCCAAGTTCACACAACTGAGACTCCAGTGGGCCAGCCTGGGAGGGGGAACCTGCACTGGTCAGTGAAGGCCAGCAACAGATGTTCCCAAGACAGCAACTTGCTGGCCGCTGCCGAAGGTGGCTCTGAAAAGAATCCAGGTGAACGGAGTTTGCAATTTGAATAATGGACGTCCGGAGGCTTCAGCGCTCTCTGTTGGGGGCTCGCATCTGCTCCCTGCTCCACCTGGACTCGTCCTCTCTCTGCCTCATGCTTCAGCCTCTCTGGCCTAGAAGACTCCTGGGGGTGCAGCTGCGTTGTACACACTGCCTAGCATGTGGGGCTCTGGGTCCCGTTCCCAGTTCCAAAAGGAGGGGAGGAAAAAGTTAGTAGAACACAAAAGTGGATGAAATGAAGCTTCCCCTTGCTCAGCCCCAGCCCCCAACGCCCCATCTCGCAGAGGTCACTGTTGTGTCCAACTTGTTCCCATCGATGCCCCGTGTGTACATATGCAAACATTTGTGTTTACGGGATAGGCATTTAGGTCATTTCCATGTTCCTGCTGCTGTACTAAACATCTGTGTGCAGCTTTGTATCCTGGGTGGTGTTTCTGTAACAGGCTCCCAGAAGAGGGATTGGCTGGGTCATTGGATGTGAGCATTTAAATTTTGATGATCATGCTGATGGGGACACAGCTGACTGTATTTGGCACTTCTCTGGATGTGCCGGGTGTCCAAGAGCCTCACATTCATTCTCACTTAGTTGCATCAACCCCCCTGTAAGGTCGACTCTGCTCTGTTGTCATTTCCATGCACTGGAATGAGACCTGGGGTTTGCCCCACACACATACCTTCATACCTGATGACGGGTCTGTATCCTGCAAGGCACCTGTGTGCACCCTAGCAACAGGCCCATCTCTTTGCACTCTTGTCAGCACAAGAAGCAGCTCTCCACTAAAGACTGAGAATCCCAGGCATCTCTTTCTTGGTCCCTGAGGCTGAGGGTAGGCTGGCTCCTGCCCCTACACTCCCCTTTCTGGCCCACCTCCCATGCCGCTGGAGCACTCCTACTCCCTGCTAAAGCCCTTGGTCTCTGCCCACTGCCTCTCAAAGAAACTCCTAGCTCCTTAACCTGCCATTAGAGGGCTCACCTGACCACATCTCTACCAGCCTGTCCAGGTCAGTGTCCTTCTCTGTACCTCCTGTCCCTCCTCATCAGCTTTTATGAATCGTGCTCATGCTGTTTGACGTCTCTGGGTCTCTGCACATGCCATTTCCTCTATCTGAAAGGTCTTTGCATCTTTGATTACCTGGTAAACTCCTATTCATCCTTCAAAGCCCATTTCAAATGACTCCTTTTGGAATCAGGATGAAACCAAGAAGAACACCAAAATATTAATAGTGTCAGAGAAACTGCAAGTGCTACTTATTTGTCTTTTTTACCCTTTTGTGCTTTTGCAATAAGCAATAGCTATTACATTAATGTAGGAAAAAGAAAATAAGTTTAAGTTGTGAGCATCTTTCAGTTGAAATGTTTTAGTTTGTGTTTCATAAGTTAGTGTTTTAGGGCCCTAATTTAGATCATTCTAAGTTCCTTTCTGAGAAGAATCTTGGCTTTGCTCCTGGTTCAGCTTTGGGACAAATTAGGAATCCTTTTCCTCTGATAGATTTCTAGGGTTTGTGGCACATGGTTGCTCCTCAATAAGTGAGCACTGAAAGTGTTAATTAATTAACAAAAACAAAGCACACACAAATAGCATGACTGACGTTAAAAGCTTAAGTTCCTGGTGCATCTTTAAGAAGATTCCTCCCCCATCTCCCCTACACACACACACACACACACACACACACACACATTCAGGCGGGGTGGGGGGATTAGAGAATCCCATCAGGGTGTAAGAGAACAAGCTACTAATGGCAGAAGGCACAGAGAGATGGAAGGAGCTGCAGGAGGCAGGTAGACCCAGGATCACACACAGTGGACAGAAGCGTGTCTTGGACAGCAGTAATGCAGATGGACCCCACGCTCCACGGCAGGAGGAGGGGTTTATATGCTAAGCTGGACAAAATGGGCCTCAGCCAGCTGGCAGGTACCTGGCCTTTCTCAGAACCATCAGTCTGCCCAACATCCTTAAGAAACAGTCCAGGTGTCAATGGCCAGCACACCGTGCCTGACTGACTGCCTTAGGACTTTGTCCTGGGGTTTGGGGTGCTGCCAGGTCATGACCAAGATGGCTGCAGTCTGTCACACTGGATCCCTGCAGATGTGCATGACCCCAGCAATCATCTGTGGTAACATCAGAATTCCTCTCGTCTTTGGTAGCTGCTACACATCTGGTTCAGTGATGCTCATGTGTCTCATTTCCCTGATGCTGGGAGGCATAGTTTGTGAGTAGAAGGATGGAGGAGAGACACTGTCTGGATTCTGCTCTGTGATGTGAACTTCTGACTTTCCTGACCCCTTGCAATTATGGAGGGCGATACCTAGGAAACATCTTTGGTCCTCAGTGGACCAAAAGCTTCAGAGGCTTCTCTTTTCTCCTTGGAAGGTCTTTGTGGGTCAAAGCTCTCTTGCTGCATGTATACCAGCTAGCTATTGCTGCATAACAAACCACTCCAAACATGGTGCATTGAAACACCAAGGACTTATGCTGTCTCCTGATTCCATGGGTTGGCAGGGCTGTTCCATGCTAGTTTCTCCTGGACTCATTCACTCAGCTGCATGTGGCTTTGGGAAGCATGAGGGAGCCTCACATGGCGGTTGGAGCTCTCTGTAGGCTGTGGCACTGCCAGGCTCCCCCATGCAGCCTCTTATCTGCAAAGTTAAACCAGCCCTTGCATGGCGACCTCAGGACAGCATCCCATGCTTTATTGCTGTCCAGTTTGTGACCTGTTTGTGGATGTTGCATTAACCCAAGTAAGTCATGTGGTTCAGCCCAGTGAAGGTGGGAGGAGGCTGAGAGCTCTTCCCTAGATGGAAGGAATTGTCAGTACTTGGTAGCCTTCATTAAAGAACTTACCTCTTAGCTCTAGTAATACCACAGGAACACAGTGATGGCCTCAGCAGGGACCTGAGGGAGGTGTCATTAGCCCTTTGAGTCCCAAATTCACTTGTACCTCGTGACCCTGGACTCTTGACTTAGAGCTCTCTGTGGCCCAGATACTCTCTGCTCACTCCTACTCTCCAAGGAGCTGGCCACAAAAGTCTCCTCTGAATCTGAGGCTCCTCGTATGAAGTGGATGGAAGAAACCTGTGGGAATGGAGCCAGCCAGGCACAACGGCTCCTGGACCACATGCTCTGTCTTGTAAAATAGCTAAGTCACTGTGTGGAACTGCAAATTACTTACCTCTTAGAGCCCTGATTGTTCTCAGCCACCGAGTGGGGACTGCCGCAGTCTGGCTGGGCACAATTCACAAGCCACTTATCAAGCAGGAACAAACTTTATTTTCAGAACACACACAGCACCACACGAGCTCTTCAGGAATTCCCTCAGAGCCCAACTGCCACCACCGGCTTCCGGAGAGCCTCTCAACCCCCACTCCTCCTGCTCTTGAGGCCGATTGGCTGGGTCGCATGGGCGGAGCCAAAAGAGTTCCCCAATGAGCAGCTCCGTGGTCTGAAAGGGCGGGGAAACAGCCCAGTGAGCATCACCGCAGAGGAGCCAATCAGCTGGCAGCTGGAAGTTTGCTGGGGCCGCTGTGAGCCAATCAGCCGGAAGTTTGCTGGGGCCGCTTTGGCTGTGGCTCTCAACAGGGACAGCCACAGAGACCCTCAGAGGGCTTCCATGAGGAGCACACACAGGGGTGTCTGTCAATACTCAGCACAGGCCTGGAATGGAACCAGCATGTGAAATAGCTTACTTTTGAGCTCACAGTTCCAGAGGTTCAGTCCATGGTTGGCCATCTCCATGGCCCAAGATGAGGTGGAACATCATGGCGAGAGGGGAAGATGAAGGAAAGGTGCTCACCTCAGGGCAGCCAGGAAGCAGAGAGATTGGGAGGAGCGGGGGACAAGAACTCGTCCCCAGATCACGCCCTCAGTAAGCTACTGCCTCCACCCATGCCCACCTCCTTCAGTTACCACACAGTTGTCCATTCAAGTTATTATTCCATCCATTGATGAGGTCACAGGTGTAATCAGTGCCTGAAAACCCCACAACTGAACCTTCCTGCACTGGGGATCCTTCTTCCAAAGAACGAGCTTTGGGGGAAACACTTCTAAACCCAATCGATAACAGTTACCTTCTCGTTCAGGGTTCCTCAAAGAGGGTCCTGGTGGGCTCATGAGGCCCTCCCAGGAAGCACAGGGGAAAGTGAAAGCCCTCGTCTTAAGGGGATGCCTGCTGCAGGCACTGTGGGGCTCAGGCCCTCTGGGAACCCAGAGTCGGTGCCTCAGAAGCAGGAAGTCAAGCAGGTGTCCATAGGCTCCCAGCTCCATCTGCAAAGGTCACCCTGGGAGGCAGTGACAAGCCCCACAGGACATGTGTGTGCATGAGCATGAGGAAGGAAGCCCTCACAGAGCAGAGAGCTGCCGGTGCTGTGGAGAGTGTGGTCAGCCTCCAGCCAGCTCAGAGGAAAGAGGGAGTGGGGAGAGGCTGCCGTCCCTGCTGCCGCAGTGACCCTTTACATGATCTAAAACAGTCACCCACGCATCACAGGGTGACCATCTTGTGCTACCCACTGAAGTGTCACCGACTATGAGGACAACTCAATCCCATTTCCGTTGTCTCCTAGGACACTCGAATTTCAGTTAATTTCTGAACAGACTCCATGATTCAGGGCAGAGGAAAGAAGGGAAGCGGCCAGTTATTCAGGACTTTGTGTCCCACAGACTACTGAGCACATAACCTTCATGCATCTCGTGAAATTGGATATTAATACCCCCGTTTTGTAGGGAACAAAAGCGAGACACTTTTGCCCAAGATCCCAGAACCTCTAAGAGGCAAATTCACAAAATAAGACTCTGGCATCTGGCCTCCACCGGAACTGAAATGGAAGTGGGCCAGAGACTTGCTGAGTGAGTGGACAGAGCCAGACTCTGAAAGGCCGAGCTAATGGCTCAGTGACACAGAGGCCAAGGGGCTCCCTGGAGGACTTCCCTCCTCTTGGTCAGGAAGCCTAAGTAACCATTTGTATATTAGAACTGGAGTGGAGAATGGTCCTGCATTCAGATTATCTTGACAAAAGGCTACAGAATAACAGAGCTTCCCTGCAAATTAGTTTATCGATTCCCCCCACAACCCTGAGAGGGAGCTGTTTCCCATTTCTGGCACCATTTGTCAGCGGAACAAAGCTAGATCCAGAGAGGCTCCACTGCAAGCCCTGGACTTGGCTAAGACCAGACGCAGACACCTGGATCCAAAGCCCAGACTGCCCCTGCTGGACCTTCCTGGTTGTTCTTAGATTGGTGTCCACGCACTCACCTATCCGCTCACTCCTTCCTTTGAACTTTGAATACATTGTGCAGCAATTTGTGTCTGGCTCTGCTTCTGGAAACTCAGAATTCAGGATGACAAGAATCAGGCTTGACCGGCACAGAAAGGCAAATATTGCATGAGCTCATTTGTAGACGGATTTAAAAAGGTTAGATCTCTTAGCAACCGAGAGCAGAATAATGGCTTCCGGGGGCTGGGGCTGGGGAGATGGCCACACATGCTGGTCAGAGCGCAATCACTTTCCCTCGTGAGATGAACACGTTCTCAGCTCTAATGCATAGCCTGGGTGGTAGCCGATGTGTCAATTACTTTGTGCTTGTGGTGAAACTGGTCTTGAAAATCAGGACTGGGTCCTTGTTCACCTGGTGTTGAAGATCCAACACCCAGAGAGGAGGGGGTCCAGAACCCGTGCCCCAGGGAATGAGAGTGTCTTGCTCTTTTATAGATTTTAGGTTTCCTTTCTTCTCATGTCCCCTCCTCCTCTTTTCTAGCCAACTTGACCAGAAGTGTCCAGGGGGTGATTGATTGCTTGTGTTGGAGAATGGGATCCTTCTCCTCCCTGCTGGGCTGTTAGCAGCCAGGTGGTGGGAGTGCTTCTCCATTTCCTTTCCTTTGATAATTAGCTCCCTGTCCTTTGCCCTGGTCTCATATCAAATCATCACATTGTACATCTTGAAAATATCCAATCTTAGTGTGTTGATTAATTTATTCGTTTTATTTTATTTTTTTGAGGTGCTGGGGATAGAACCCAACGCCTTGTGCATTCAATTAAACATTTTTAATTCTTTTTTATTTTTTTATAAAGTAAGTTTGTGCCCCTGTCTCAAAGCCCACGGGATTCTGCACATGCGGCTTAGTGTGACTTTAACTCTAAACCACCTCTGGGTTAAATCCTTGTTTTGAAGAGCCCAGTGACTACCTGGGTGAGTGAGTCTCCCATTCTTCATCAGCAAAAGACGACAATGAGAGCAAGTCTGTCCCCGGTGCCACCTGTCAGTGGACAGGCTGGTATGCACAGACCACCAGGCACGGTGCTCAGCACATGGGAGCCCCAGGTCACAGGAGCGAAGTGCCTTCCTCAGGCGGCCTCTCCCTGAGAGCTGGAAAGAGGGAGCTGGAGTAGGAGCCAGCGCTGGGTTTTGGGTTTGTTTCTGACTCACAGGTAGGAGCAGGGAAAATGGACCACGTTGTAAAGAAAGCCAGCGGGCTGTTGGGGAGAAGGGCTGCCTGGCTTCTGAGGAAAGGGGCTTGAGAAACTGCCAACCTCTGCCTCTGCGTCGGCAGCTCCGCTCCTCCTGAGAGGGTTTCCTTCCGTCTTACCTGACAGGCAGACTTGGAGGGGACATATTTGCATAATAAAAGAGGTGATTGAATCTAAATGCCTGAAGCCTTTACCTTTCCAAGCCCTCTGAAGGGCAGCTCTGAAGGAAAAAACAACTTGATTTCTGATTTCTTCTTTTTTCCCTCTCCTCACCCCATATGTGGGCGGATATTTATTCAAAGTCAAATTTTAAACATTCAGAATACACATCCATGTTTAAAAACAAAACCAACTGTAAAGGTATCCAATAAATGGAAGCAAAAAATACTCGGAAAATGTCCTTAAGTTTCAATGTTATGACCATATGTTGGAGATGCAGAGGATGCCGATTAATATTCCTACCATCTATTCAATCTTTTCAAAGTTCTTGACGTGTTCTCATTTTACCCATGAAAAGGTTGAGATTGGCAGGGTTCAGGAAAATCCCTGTGAAGAGCTGGGGAGAGGGATTGAATCCTGTGTTTCGTTTTGTCTTGTTTTTTTGTTTTGGTTTACTAGGACTCAAAGAAAGCGATTTGGAAAAAGGCAAGGATGCACAGGAAGGGAGAGGGAGGGACTGAGGGGGGAGGAGAAGGAGTGGAAGAGCTTCTTAGGCTTGGAAAAGAGGAAAATATAAGCAGGTGGGTTGTGAGATGCACAGCTCGGAGAGCCAAGTGGCTCAGACAGAAAATTAAAGGCTTGAAACCCGGGGAACGTGAATGTGCGGGACTGAGGACATGGAGCCACCTGGCCCTCGAGGACCCAGCTTCAAGGACAGCATGACCCAGTCTAAAAGGGCAAAGCCAAGCACAGAGCAGGCAGATGATGGAGTGTCATTCCCCAATCCCCCACTCCCCCCCCCACCCAGCAAACATCTGGGGAATAACAGGAGAGCCTCAGTGGACATCGGAACAAACCAGGTGACCTAGTGTCCCAGCACAGGAGTGACACCCGGTGGCCCTGAGGTCCTCTGGGAGTTCTCCCAATGGCCAGGGAAGAGACCCTGCCACACAGATAGGACACAGCTTAGGGACAAGATGTAAGATGACTGGAGTCAGCATCCATGGACACGGTGGGGAATGGCTCAGGATTCTCTGGGGTAGTGACTGAGGAATGAGCTCTGGGGTCCTGGGCTGGCCATGCTGACCGGTAGGGTAGTTTAGCACTTTATAGACACAACAGAAGGCGGGGCAGGAGCTTGCCGTCTTGTTGGTGGCCTGTCCTCCCTCCCATTAGACTGGAGAACTGTGACCACAGTCTTGCAACCATGAAGGCAGATTGTCTGGGAGGTCACCTGGAAGCTCCAACGAGGCAGAGGGGGACCCCAAGACCAAGGACCGGCACATGGTTAATCCAGCCCGCTGCGCCCCCAGCGCCTGCAACCTCTGCAGCCAGGGCTCCCACCTACCTGAGGAGTGGCCTCTGGGACACAGGGGAGAGGCGCAGCTGAGCTTGAGCCGCTCAGGACAGTGGCCGCTCTTGCCCCAGGTGGGAGGACGCAAGCCTGGGCGGCCAGGGCCTGGCTCTGAACCTACCTTTCCTGCCGACATTGCTGCCCTCTGTGGTCTACCAACGGCGCAGCACAGGACAACGGGGGCGTGGCCTGCACCTTCTCTGGTTCTAGCAACAACCTGATTCCGGATCCTTCTTTGCTCAGTTGCGATAGTGAGGCTGAGACAGAAAAAAATAAAAGATGGGTGAAGAGGAGGAAGCGGAAAGCTCCCCAGCAAAGTTCTTCCCCCCACCCCCCATCCCCCGCCTTCACTTCCCAGAAATCTGGAAATCTTAGAGTTTCTATAAATTTACTCACTTATGAAAATGACTTCTTGCCTTGTTAATTAGCGCACACGATACATAAATTAAACAAAGACAGATGTGAGGTTTTAAGAAAACTACAATTTAGGAGACTTTCCAGTGTTACTATTCATCAGATATGGAAACCACATCCACCTAAGGATCCCAAGAATGGCCAGACCACCATAAGCCACCTGTGACCATTAGACTGAGGTCACCCTCGTATACCTCCATGCCTTCCCTCACACGTGTCCTTGAAGAGCCTGAGAACCCCAAAGTGTCTGCACCCTCAAGATGGCCCACATTCTCCCCTGAGTGTGTAAAAGTGTCTCACTCTTGAGGTGGCATTTTGAATGTATCTCTTCTTTCCTAAATAAATCTCTGTCTTTGATTGACACACCTGTGAGCCCATTTCTATAGTGTTTACCAAGAGCCCCACTCGTCCTGGGTGGTGCTCTCCCTCTTGGGAACTTCTCAGACCTTGGTCAATGGAAGAACCATCTCTCCTCCTTCACTGTCCCCTCCTCCGGAGTGCTTCCTGTCTCTGCTCTGCTCCCCGGTCCTTCCAGCAAGGACCTTGTCTTACCAAGGCCCATCCCAAGCCCTCTCTCCTAAGACACCTGTGACACCTGCCTCATGGCGTGACTCCCTAAGGATTGCTGCCAGGGCTCCGTCCATCCTGCAGGGGTGGAGTCGACGGGAAGCCGACTTAAACATTTGCATTTTCACAAGCTGTAATTATTTTTCATGTTGCAATTAGGCTCAGTTTAAGAAGAAAAGTGCTCATTATTCTATTTCCTGCCGAGACTGTGCCAAAGAAGTGGCCCGCTCCTCCTCCAACCTCAAGTCCTGGGAGGTAGCCTGCCCTGGGGACTCTGGCCAGAAGGGAGGCCTAGCCTATTCTATTCTTGCTTAAGAGACCCAGCAAAGAGTGCCGAGGCTGCTCGGGGCCAGCTGTGGCTAGCCATGGAGGCAGATGGCCTCTCCCCAAGAGCCAGACGTTGCCCCAAGAAAGTGAGGCTGTTGAACTCGCCAGCTCTCCCTGTTCCCGTCTCTGGGTACCTCGTTTCAGAAGTGCTGAGACAGCGAGGAACTCCCTGTTGAACCCTGAGCTACGCCTTGGTCAACTCTGCGCCCAGCGGGAACTGAGGGACAGGAAGCCCAGGCCCCGGTGGCGACCTGAGCCAGGTTACCAGGGAAACCTGGTAACCCACTTCCTTCTTCACTCCTGCTGTTCATCGTCCTCATAAGAGCCCGGGGGGTAAGAAAGGGCCACCTTCTCAACAACTTCTGGTTTTCTGTGTGAAAGAGTGACGTTGGAACTCCACCTCCAACCATCCACAAAAACGTGCTTAAAATCTATCCAAGACCCAACACAAGCGCTGGAGCCATAAAACTCTTAAAAAAGAAAAAAAAATAGGGGTAAATTGTTGTGATCTAAAATGAAGTAATGATTTCTCATAAATGACACCAAAAACTCAAGTCACAGTGATGAAATAAGTAAATAAATTGAAAACGGACTCGAATAGGTGTTTCTCCAGAAATGTCACAAACGCTGCACCTGGTTTGGCACCTCCCGCGTGGGACTTCGTGGGGCCATTTGTGGGATGATGATGGTGGCTTCTTTCCTTAGGGGGTGAAATGTCCAAGTAGGGGAAGCTTCTCTGTGGTTTAGAGACATATTTGGATCCTGGACTGCCACAAGAAAGTCTGGATTTAGTCCCATGACCACAGACAACCTCATTAGGAGGCCCAGACACTTGAGGAATCGGTGCTCATGGCAGATCTCAAGCCCTGTCAGAGGTATCCAAGAGACATGGGTTCTCTTGTGTCCTACAGAGCCACTGAGGCCCACTCAGCCAGTCTCAGAGAGGCCCCCTCAAATCCAGGTCCTCTCAGGGACGGCTTCCTGGGAGCAAGCCAGGAATGTTCAGGAACCTTTCTGCAGCATAGGCAGACCTGAGGTAGGATGCAAACTTCTGGGGGCCCCTCAGAGGACTGTTAGGAAGGCCCCGCCTTCAAGCCCTGCTGTGATAACACAATGATCTGGGAGGCTGCTCTGGGAGGCTGATCCGGGAGGCTGAGCCCAGAGGCTGATCTGGCCAGAGTTTCCAAGAAACCATGAAGCTGCCTGGCCTGGCACCCAGGCATGGTGTTCTGACAGCCCGGAGGAGGTGGGTGTGCCGTGGTTCCCAGCCTGGCCACGCCTGCCCCACAAAGGCAGAGGTAGGAGCAAAGGTGGGCACTTCTCACCCTTTGACCCTGGCCAAGTCCCCTGGGCCCACTTGTTTCTCTGAGAGCTAACTCCCCCTGCTAGGGAACGGAGTTGAACTGAGCGCTCCACCTCTAGAATGCTGAGAAGGAGGCAAACTTGTGGCCAGAGAGGACTCAGAGCCGGGGTTTGGGAGGGGGTCTTCATCAGACTCCATTTTTTTGGCATTCACCTGCTGTGCTGCCTTGACCAAGTCACTGGCCTCTCTGGACCTGGGAACATAAAGCTTCACTTCACAGAACTCTGTAAAGGACATAGATGCCTGTTTATAATGAATCTGGCAGAAAATGTCCTAGAAGAAATTATAGAAAAACACTTTTTAATGTCAGAGTAAGACATTATTTTTTGGATAAGATATAAAAAGTGCAAAACACGGGGAAAGGAGTTAGTTTGATTAAAATGTAAAATTTCTAAGTAAAAATGACCAACAATTAAGTGAAATGATCGTCAAAGGGGAGAAAAAGCCATTCATGAAGCACGTGGAGGACGTGAGATTGACCCCAGAATAGTGCAGAGGACTCCTAGGGATCAAGTACAACAGGTCTTTACCAGAATCAAAGTGGGGAGGGTGGGGGTGGGGGTGGGGCTCCAGAAAGAGGGAGCTCTCCAGGAATGCCCTCCGCGGTGGGAACAGAGGTGGGCAAAGAGGCAAAGGGAGATGAGACGATTTTTCTTTTTCCTTTTTTTTTTTTTTTTTGTAGAAATGCTCCACAACAACATGCGTCCCCTTTTTATTTTTTTATTTTGATACAAGGCTCACTAAGTTGCCCAGGCTGTTCTCGAACTTGTGATCCTCCTGCCTCAGTCTCCCGAAGAGCTGGAATTTCCGGCTTGTACCACCATGCCTAGCTCAAAGACCAAGGTTTTCAAAGGTAAGTGAAAGGGTCACATGCATCACGTATACCAGTTATCCTGGCTACAGAGAAGTTCCAACGGTGGCATCAGCCCAGGGTTGGACAGGAGATTGCTGGGCCAACATTCTTGCAGAAATCATTTACATGTAAGATCTCAGTGGCCTTTGTGTGAGGCTGTGGTCCCGGCAGAGTCTCCGTGACACCGTCTGTCATCGGGCACAGTGCATGAGGTCCCTTCCTTCCGTCCCTACATGAACTCATGTATTATTTTTGGTTGATGTGAAGGTTGACTCCACTTTTATTCTGACAACTTTCATGGGGACAGATAGTCAAATGAAGACAGAAAACAGCCATAGAGAAACTCACAGGAGGGGAAACATGGGGCCAAACCACGACAACGTCCCTTGTCATGAACTCTGAAGTCCGTGATGAAGAGCTGCAGGAGACGCCCTGCATGGTGGAAGAGCACTCTTGGGTCGGCCCCTTGGGCCTGAGAGCCTCACTTCCAGGGATATGCCTTGGATAACCCTGGGGTATTGCACAAGAGAAAGGTATTGGTCGGTGCACACAGGAAAAACCCGAAGTGACGGGGACCCAATGTCCACCAACTGTGGAATGTCTGGGGGGCTAGAGACTCTCTCTGCCAAAGCCAAATACCCAAAGGCGCCACGTGGGGGTTGGGTCCAGGGCCCTCTGCAGGCACCCAGGTCTGTGGATGCCTGAGTCCCTTTACAGAGTGGTGTCACATCTGCGTGGAGCCTCGCAGGTCCCCCCGGTCCACCTTACGTCACCTCCACAGGCTCACAGTGATTAACACAATGCCATCAACGCCAGCCCTTGGTGTGCAGGTCAGGGTTCAGGGCATAATGATAACAAAGAAGTCTGCATGTGGTCAGCGCAGACGCCACATCCTTCTCAATTATCTTCCCTCTGTGGTGGATCGAACTCACAAGCACAGACACACCAACAGGCAGTGCCAGAGGCCAACTACAATTAGGCCCTGTGGGTTCTGCAGTCTCTGCCACAACCACCCAGTATCGTCATGGTAGAGTGAAAACAGCCAGAGAGTGAAAACAGCCATAGAGAACTTTAAAAAAAAAAATGGGCATACTTGTGTTCTAATAAAACTTTATTTACAAAAGAAAGAAACAGGCACCACAATTTGCAAAAACAGAATGATTCTATTAGTTATGATATCTTTATACAACGGAACACTATACAGCAATGAAAATGGTGCACAGGTTGGATGGAAACTAAGCACATAATTTTGAGCTAAAGAAGTCAGATGCATACTTCTGTTTTAACTTATAGAAAATTCAAAACTATGCAAATCTAAACTGTAGTGTGCAGGTTACCTACTTAGGAAACAGCTCTAAAGAAAATCAAGTGATGACTGCAATGGTCAGGACCATGCTCATCATTGCCAGATGGAGAGAGCTGCAGTTAAAGGGAGCACAGGAAGCTCTGCAACATGGACCATTCGTATTTCTTGGCCTGGCTCAGGGTCACGTGGCAGTTTGTCTTAGAATAATTCATCAAGCTGTTCATTGGCATCGTGTGTCCACTTCTGGATGTATACGATTTTTCACAATTAAATAGTATAAAAACTATAAGAGGCCCAGGTGTGGTGGTGCACATCTGTAATCCCAGCAGCTCAGGAGGCTGAGGCAGGAGGATCATGAGTTCACAGCCAGCCTCAGCAATAGCGAGGCGCTAAGCAACTCAATGAGACCCTGTCTCTAAATAAACTACAAAATAGGGCTGGAGGTGAGGCTCAGTAGCTGAGTGTCCCTGAGTTCTATCCCAGTACCAAAAAAAAAAAAAAAAAAACCTGTAAGAAATCTAAATGCTTGCTCTCTCATCCCAGGTGTCCCCTTGCCCCCGGTGAGAGGCAGTTCTAGAGCACACTGTCCTGGGAGAGGCACCTGCCTCAGGCTCAGCGAGAGCTGGGCTGGATGGAAGGTGTTGGGGGATGAGCATCTGAGCCCGGGTGGACACTGCACAGGAGGAGAGAGCTTCCTCGCAGGACATGTCTGATCTCGGAGGGAAGCACTGAGTTAAACTGAAATCCAGGGGCTGAGTCAGAACCCAACACACACACGGCGTCTCCACTGCCAGTCTGATCCTATTTAAGCCTAGATCCTGCTCACGCGGCTCCAGAGGCAGCAAGTTCTTAAAGGATAGTTTCCCCAGTTACAAAGACAGCGCACTTCCTGTCTCAGGAGTGACTCATGGCAAACGCTAAATGTGTGTGCACGTGTGTGGTTTTGCAAGTGTGTTTGTGGATGTGCTGAGCAATGCAAAGAAGACTTACCGCTATCTACAAGATCAGAGCACTGGAGTCATCGTGAAAAGTCATCTCTGGCAATCAAGAACCTAAAACATGTCCTAACTTTGTCCCAGCATTTCTACATCTGAGACTGTCTCCCTGCAATGCTCTCAGAGATATGAAGTAATTTCCACAGAAAAGTTTTCATGGGTATGTTATCAACCCCTGGAAAAAACTTGGAAACTACCTAATGCTCAAGATAGAAAATGATTAAGTGAGCTGATTCCAGACACATGATGAACCACCATGTGGTCATTAGAGCTCTGTGTAGGGAGAGCGGTCATCACCAGCACAGACAGGATGCAGAGTTAAAATCCCAGGATGATTATAGCAGCAGCACCCAGAAAACCTTACACACAGAAAGACCCGGTGGGAAGAAAATCAATAAAGTGGTAAAGAAGTTATATTTAGAGGACAAGAATGAAATGTGACTGATTTCTTTCCCTCTACTTTTCTGGAAGCAATTTCCCCAAAATAGCAAAACGATTGGATTATAAAACATGTAAAAAAGTGAATGAATGCAAATGTGTGTATTTTTCCTACGTAAAGGAAGGCAAAAATAGTGAACTGGAGTGTCACGCGACAGGAGAGTCAAAGGGAAACAGCACAGAGAAGACAGGAAAGGAAGCGACCACATGTTAGATTCTTTTCATAGTTTACATCTCTCGATATTGGCAGCTACTGAATGCCAGAACCAGGATTTATGCACAGCTCTGAAAATGTCTAGTCTGTGCTGTCACCCACTGCCTACCTGCCTGCCTAC